ATTATAAGGATGCATGGGATAATTAAGAAAAAGAAAATCAAACTTTTTTACATTTTAACAAAATGGAAAATATTGTCATTTTCTTCCTTTACATGCTAAATTTGATTTTATCAACCAAAATATGAATTACTATGTATTTATCTTAGTATAGTGTAGTATAGATAACCTATAACATTACATAGAAGAAAGCAAATATGTGGAATGGACTATTTGTAGTTCTGCCCATTGGTGTATATACCTCTGATTCAAAGTGGCATTGAAAGCATGAGTCTTGGAAAATATATAGATGTTTCATTTACATAGTGACCTAACAAAGTACTATTAGTCAAATAGTCATTATTATCTACTACTTTATTCCATCTTAAATTTAAGAACCAAAAATTATGATATATAATTTTTCAAAACTCAAACTAGTGATGTCAAATATGAACTTTTACCAATAATATAATGGTTTAAGAACAAAGATTTTGATCACTTAAGCAAGTGATTAGAGGTTTTTATTGTCTCAACCATAAGCGAAAAATATTTGCACTAGTGTAACTTGGGGAGGCATGGTTTGTTGGTGGAAAATGTGGGTGTAAAAGAAACAACACTCATGGTTTTTCTAGATTTGTAAAAATATCCAATTTTCAGATTCTAATTGAATCATCATCATTGTTGAGAGAATGAAAAAATGGTTTATAAAGGAATAGATGTAAGGTGTAAAATAGATCAGAAATTGAACAATTGGTTCAATTCGAATTATACTGTTATGATTTGAATCAAGTGAAATAATGATTTGAATCAAGGTGATAAAATTTGAATTTGACTTGCTTTGATTCGAAACATGATTTGAATCATGTGATTCAAATCAATAAATTATAGGATTCAGATCACACAACCAAAAATGATTTTCAAAAGAGTTTATTTTATCATGATTCAAATCATCTAATGTTGTGATTAGGGATGTCACTGTAGGGATTGTCCCATTTGAGGCACCATAGATGGTAAATTTTCCAACACAAGGACGAGGTTGAGGTACAACCCCCCCTACAAGGATCTGAGATAGAAAATGGAAATAGATTCAATAGCAAGGATTGGAATGAGGATATACCTCCCACCTTTACTCCACCCCCATTGAATTCCCTAGTTGTGATTCACATCAAGGTATTTTTTATTTGAACCAAACATATCCTTGCCTCAAATTACTATTGCAGCGCCAAAAATCCAAATTCCAATTTAATTATTTATTCAAATCATCCAAAGCTGTGATTCAAGGCACTATGGTTTGACTTTGATCAATTTGCTATAAAAAAAACATAACAATGGATTCAACCTAATTAAGTGTGAGGGATAACACAAGGTACAATACTACAATGAATGATAACGTTAAATTTTGATTCGTCGATAAAAATGAGATTTGATATAAACAATAATTCAAAAATATCAAAAACGGGATAAATCATCAAAATACACATATGAAATTCACTGTTACCGACAAATCAATTTAAGTTTCCCCTTTTTTATGTTTGTAAAATTTGAGATATTATTTGAATAATTTGATTCTAGTTATTGGGCATCAACGTGTAATTGAGAAACAAACCAAAATGTACAATTCACATCAATTACGCGATTGTGTACAACACAAAGAATGAGCGCAATCAAGCACAATACAAACACCATTTTATATATGATATTCAACATCACAACAAATATACATATAATAGATAAGAGAAGTACTAATTAAGTATTAATCTAAAATGAAAAAAATTATGTGCCAACATGGACTATTAGCAAAAACAAGAACATTACAACACTAATTTGCAAAACACGACAATAATAACTGATAAAATATCTTGAAATAAAATTAAACCAAACTTAAAATGAGATGAAATGGATGCTAAGATTATGGAAGGTTGGAGTGGAAACTGGTCGTCTCTGAGAAAATTTGAAATGTTAAAAGAGAAACTCGAACCATTAGTAGTTATAGGCTTTCTTGACGGAGGTCAACAAAGCAGTCAACATTTCTTCCATTGCTCGAGCTTCTGCAACTATCGTTTGTTCTCGAGAAATCTGATACTCTTCCCTTTTTCAGGCTAAATGATAATACAATTAACACATACATCAAAATATGCTTTGACTGTAGGAATCAATCCATCAGATGAAGGAGTAATAGATAAAGGAGTTGTCTTCCATGACAAAAAAAACCTTAAGGAGCTTCCTATAGGCTACAAATTTGTCCTCATAGATCCTACATGAATTCATGTATTGTTTACATACTTATTTTTTATTTCAAGATAAGTAGCTAATTTTCTTTGATTAGGGATTGTTAGATGAACATGTATGAACTTGTTGGATCATATGTTGAATTCTGTACTATTTTCATGTTTTGATTAATCAATATTTGTTATTCAGTTAAATCTTGTGTTCATTGGTTTGTATGTGGTGACAAGCTCATATATCAAACCTAGAATTATGGGGATTAATGACCCTAACTCTATGATTTTGAACTAGATAAATTGTTCAATTGAGTAATTGATTAAGAATAAAAAATAATAATTTGTGACAAGAGGTTTAATGATCCAAATTGTCTGATTTAACTTCAAACTGACCTAAGAGAATATGGAGTTATAATGTAGAATATTGAGTTATACACCAAAGGGTCGAGTATAGTGGCTTGGTTAAATAACTGTAATTTTTGATAAATCAAGTTTGCACATATAGAAGCCGGCATTAAAAGCGACATACAAGGGACTCAAAAGAATGCCGATTAAATTTTCTACAATTTTATATATGTGTTTTATATACCTTCATACCTTAAAACACGCCTCATTTTATTATTACAACAAGATTTAATATACTTGTTAAATATCTACTAGCTCACCTTATGCAGTAGGATAAAGAAGTTTGAAGTAGAAAAGACATAGCTAGCAATAGAAACAAAGGAACTATGGATGATTACCTCATCGATAATGGGTCGGGATGTAATCCAAATCTGGTAGAGCCAACCCAATGTGGCTCTTAGAACAAGAGAATGTTAGGCTAAGGCAGCTAACGAACCTGATTGATAATGTCGACAGAAAAACTAATACAAAGAGAATATTTAGGTTAAAGATATAAAGGATAACACATTTATGGTTAATTAAGAGCATTATCAATTAGGTTCTAATTGCCTTTTTTTTTAAGATCACACTAATTTGGACAATTATCTTAAACGGTCTCTAATGGACTATAAAATGAATCATAAACACTATATAAAACACTATAGAAGATGATAAAAAAAAAATATATACATTTCCTAAAATAGATGACAAGCTTTATTGACTCTCGCTAGTATACTTTTGCAAGTATATTAGAATATTTTATTCATTATATTTAGTTGTATTTGTATAGTTTTTTTTTTATGTGTGATGTTTATTATTGTTGTAACACTCACCATGACATCTTAACTTTTTATTTATTTTATTTTAAAATTTATAAACTTTTAATATCAAGTATTTTTATTTTGATAAAACTCTTGAAAAAAAGTGGAAATCCAAAAAGATGGAGAGATGGGAAGATACCCCCATAGATAAGGGTGGACATAGTTCAGTTTGGGCCCAAAGGACCCAAAGACTCTATGATTTGAAGCTCACTAGACCCTTCAAAAGCATTTGGGCAGTCCCTTATCCTTGGGCCTTTCTCTGGTCTATTATATTTTTTTCTAAAGGAAATTGTTAAATGCACCCTTCAAATGGGGGATCCTACGACTTTCATTTGTTAAACACACGTAATCTCATCATAACTGCAAGAAAAAAATAATTTATTTTTGGATTTTACAATCAAATGGCAATAACTAGCAAGACATGAATCTTACTATCTTTGATTTTTCTCAAAATGGTGTGAGGGATTGGTTTTAAAAAATGGGTCAAATTTATTTCTTTTTTTTTCTGGTGGCATCAAGATATATGTTCTAACAAATTTCATGTTACATCTTATAAATATATGTTTCAAAAACAAAATTTTAAACTCTAATGCATAAAAAAGTCAGTTTCCATTGAAGGTTAAAAAAAAATAATGTATAAATATTTCAGCAAAAATTTGACCTATACAAACTTGATTTTTGTAACCATGTATCAATTTATACTAATGCGAAATATAAGTATTCAAAAATTATATTTTATAAATATTATTAAAGTTATGATACCTCCAAATTTTGAGAAGTTAAGGATATTGAAATTTCATTACAGTTGAAAGAAATTCAATTAGTTAATAAAATTACAAAACCATATAAATAATACCTACCTTATGTTAGACTAAGTCAAGTCAGATTATTCAAAAATGTTTTAAATCTAAAAATTTAATTTATTAATTTATTTTCAATTTAATAATAATGATTTAATTAAAAATAATATTAGTTTTTATAACTTTTTAATATATTATTAAAAAATAAATTTCAACAATATAACTTTCTATAATAAAAAGAAAAACAATAGATTCGTAACAAAAAAAACGAATTACAACTAATAATGTGTTATATCCCATCATAAAAATTTAATAATAAATGAGTTGATCCTATCATATTTAAATATGACCTATAAATAATATCTAAAATTAATTTAAAAAAATAATAAATAAAATTGCAGGTATTAAGACATAATATTTTGTTATTTTAAATTTGGTTGTAAAAATTAAATTATCTAAATTAGTTTCAATAGGAAATAAAATTTGGTTGATAAAATAAAATTATATAAGTTGGTTTTAAAATAAATAAATCTTTAACTATTCAATGAAATCATATAATTTATTAAATAAAATAATAAAAATTAGTTCAAGTAAAATAAATATTTGTTTAATCAATGAAATTAATAAACACTTATATGTTGCACTGCTAATATACACATGTTGTTTCTTCAAACAACATACATTTATACACATTTTAATTTAATTTTTACATGTCTTACCACCTAAAAATTTGAGGCATCGATTTTTTGAAGGTACCAATGAAACAAGATTTCTAGAACTCTTGAACTTCTGAAGTTTTAATGCAAATTCTTATGGTGATGTCTTTTCTTCTCTTTCATGTTAACCGAGTGATCATCATTGAAGAACAAACATATGGCTGAACAATCATCAATATGGTAAGATGGAAACTTTCGTTTCCAAACTTGAACAGCACGTCTTACTATATATTTGGCTGCTAATGACCTCTTTGGTGCCAAACTAGCTATGGTTATTACTTCATTGTTTGATAGCACATTCCATATCTATAAATAAAAACATTAATTAGACCTTTATCTGCAATTTTATATGAGTGTATGATTCAGACCGCAATATTTTATGAGTGAGGAAACCTTGAATGCTTACCCCATCGGTGGCCAAAACAACGAACTCATCTTGCTTGGAAAGTTTTCTATAAAACATCTCAGGAACTGATGAGAGACCATACTCTTTTAGGCAAAAATCACCAAAGGCTCTTGTCATAGCTAGTCCTGGACAATCACTTTCAGGCATCCAGATTCTATTTACATCAGGATCTTCTTTTGCTGGAAAAACTCTACCTCCACATTTAATCACTCTATTAGCTTCACCTAATCACAATGAAGAAAAAAAGTTAATAATTACTTTCTCAAACATTGTATATAGAATCAAATTATAACTTACTTGGAACATTAGGAACCAAGTCGACCGTAAGTTGTACAGGAACGCGATGATTGTCGTCTGCTTTTGTGCAAAGAACCGCGCGAGAATCGCCTAAATTGCCGATTATCAGTTGGTCACCCTGGTATTTTTCATCCAACAAAAAATTAAACTATTTGAAAGTAAAAATATTTTAGTTGAAAGAAAAAAATAACATAAAATGTTTACCTTTTTAATTAAAGTTATAGCTGTGCTACCGCCATTAAATCCATCTGTGTCAACGTTCTTGGCAAGATCTTGATCCATTTCATTGAAGGAACTAAAAAAATGTTCTTCCCATGTATCACCATAAGTGGTTTTTTCTGTATTTTTTTCACCATTGTCTTTGGAGACATTTTGTTGGGACATTTGGATTGTTGTAGAGAGTTTCGAGGGGAGATTGTCGCGTATATGTTTCGAAAACTTGTGCCCTAGAGGACCATGACCATCTAACACACCACAAAAAATTGTGTCTTTTTCTCCACCAAAACCCTAATAATCATCGTATCAAACATTAATTTTCTGAATCATTGAGTAACTGAGGTATACATTGAAAAAATTGTCTCTTTTTCTCCACAAATACAAACTTAACCCTAAACAAAACCCTAATTTCTATTAAAAAAATGAAAAGAAATTTTGCAGACACTTGTTTCTTACCTCCCAAACTGTCATGGCATCTTGATTCGTTCCTTTTGTACCCTTTTGGCTATACATTGATACATACTTAGAAGATCCATTCAATATAACCTTTGCCTCACCATTTTCACATGTAAATTCAATATCCTTTGTGTTAGATTCATTATATTCAACAGCATGACACTTGTCCACAGTTGAAACTTGGCAGCTGCAACAACTTCCCATGCTCAATTTCACAATCACACATCCAAATATGAGGAGGAATATGATTGCGATTTCGATTGAGAAAAGGACTATTAAATTGAAATTATGTATAAAACATTTTTTAGGGTTTATTTATATGTTTGTTAGATTGTTCTTATGTAGCTGTGATAATGAGCTTAATTTGGATCAAATTTGTTGGATTAACTCTGATATGGAAAAAGATCTGTGATCTATTTTTGTAGGACAGATAGGATTGAAAACTCGCTTTTAACTATTTGTATATATTTTCAAGTTGGTTTGAATAAGAACAGAGAATTTTACAATTTAATATAATATAGAAATTTATTTTAAAAATATTATGATATAGTAATATTTAACCCATAATTTGGCTAGATCTATATAAGAGTTAATTTTAAAAAATTAGAAAAAAGTATAATCAGCATGGTTAATTTTTCCCATGGAGTGGAGATATAAATTTATTGCAGGAATATTTTATTTTAATTTATTCCTTAAAAAACATTTTAACCCAATTATACTATAATTTTTTTCTTATTTTAAAAAAATTATTTTTCACCTCATTGAGACTTAATGGAACAAAAAGATAATTTGTCCATAATCACTACTAGAAAAATTGAATATAGAGACGGGCGAAATCCGTCTCTAATACATTAAAATTTTGTTATTGAACTTGTTAGAGACGGAATTCGAGACAGATCAATATCCATTGTTACCAAATTCGTCGCAAGTTGGCCAGAGACGAAAATATTGTCTCATTTTTGACTCGAGACAGATATATTATGTCTCAGTCTCTCAGACAATCAAGTAATATTTTTCACATTATAACATAGCCATAAGTCATATCGTTCCGTCTATGATATTTCATCTCAAACACTAACACTTCTGTCTCTATTGAAATTAAATATTATAAAAAAAACGGTCTCAAAAACCAGTCTCTGAATTTTTTAGAATAATTTTTTTATGTTGTTACTTAATTAAAGATGTTAAAAAGTCAAATTTCATTCAACATTACCATAAAATCACATGTTTTCCTTACAAATCATTTCATGATATTGATGTTCAACATATCAAAAAAATAAAAAAGATCATATATATTTAACTAAAATCAAAATAACTAAAATTAAACTGCATATCAATATTACCATAAAAAGTACTTGACCTTACAAATCCTTAAGTAAACCATTATATGGTATTAACCTTTAATGTGACTAAAATACAAAAAGATCAAATATTTGATCTAGCAAAAATCAAAATAACTAAGACTAAGCTCATCATCATTTATCTCAACATTTTCATTATCGCCTTCTCCATCGGGTTGAAGTAGCGAATTTTGATTAAAATTAAGCATAAAATTTTCAGACATCCGCTCCTAATGCTTCATCTTTTATTTTATCATTTCTTGTTCAAGATTTTTCTTTTCAAGTTCAGCAGTTAATGCTTCAAACTTAGCCTCTATAGCAACAACTTTATTTGACGACGCATTCATTATGAATAAAAGATGAGAATTTTAAAGATTCTTTGACATTAGTAGCTGGAAATCCTAATCCAAACATGCGTCCTTTCTTCTGTATGCCTCAAACAACTTCCATGTACACATCATTATCAGATTGTTGGGTAGATTGCTCACCGCTACCTTCACCACTTTGGGAGTTTTTCTCAAATATTTGAGTTTGGTACATTTCCTAAAAAAATAATTGTTATTAGTTTATATTTATATTTATAAAAGATATAAAAAAGAGTAATGACTACATACAACTATCTTAACTTGTGTTTTATTAAACCACTCATTCGGTTTTCTCTTTGGCCTACAAAGTCGTTGATAAAGCTCAAAACATGTCGGTTTCCTATGCAACTCCACCCGCTAAAACAATAACTAAATATAATTTAAGTTAATATAAATATATTTAAAAATAACTATGACATTGATAAGAATTACTAACCATTTTTTTTACATGTTCACTAGCAGATATAGATCTGCCACTATGTATATTGTGTCCAACTTTAAATTTTCTGTTTTGTTTATTAATTATAGAAAATAATTTTTTTGTCACTTTTCATCTTTCCATTAAGCCTTTAATTTTTTTAGATTATACAAAGCATTTTTTAGAGTCAAAGATTCATCCTACTATTAAAGTTCTTCTCAATGTTAGCTTCATCTTTTTTTAACCATTTGATTTGGACTAAAAAAAGTTACAACAAAAAAAGAGAGGATTGAATATCATTGTTGTGTCGTAATATTAATTAAAAACTAGCAGTTCTAAAGCAGTATGTGATCTGACCTGATCAGAAGGGGATCACTGGCTGCCACGCGTCTTTGACTTACTGCCTGTTCACCAGTGTTGAAGAAGAGGAGGGGGTGTAACTACAAGACACTCTGATGGCAAAGTAAGGAATTGGACAAAGTGAGAACAAATACAAAAAAAGGGGTAAGAAGAGAATACCTGACCCTCTTGGAGAAGAAGGTATTTATAGAGAGACCCCAGCGCAGGGCCAACGGTCATTTGAGTTGGGCTGGATGGTCAGGCCCAACCCAAGTGACTACTAAGGCTTACATGGCGTAGTGAAGACCAGAACGTGATCTTCGTCCTAATTCAACTGTTCCGTGAACTCCGGAAAGTGGGTTGACCTGCTCTTTCGGAGGTGGGCAGTTGGTGGATCACGTGTCCCCGCGGAGGGGAGCACGGGGAGAACGTGTGAAGGACACGTTGTTCTGCTCAACAAGGGAGAAGGTCCTGGCCGCGGAGGGAAGAGGTCCTGCCCGCGGAGGGAAGGTTCTGCCCGACGGGGGCAGTGTCTGGTCGACGAGAGTCTTGTGCTTGACACAGATGAGGAAGGTTCTGCTCGACGGGGCGTCATTTCCTGCCAGACGGGGACTCTGTGCTCGAAGGTTGTGGCCCAAGCTGGGTTGGGCTTGGCAGAATATCATTGGGCTGGGTCTGCCCGGTCAAGCCGGGGCCCAAGCCAGAACAGTATGTATCTAGAAACCATGAGACTTATTACTAATTATCTTTATACAATATAATGTAATGACATATATAATTTCTTCATGACTGAGGAAAACATAGTAAAATATTAATATAATCCACCCTACATGTATCCACGAAAGGAAATGAATGAATTGCTTAAACTATACTATTACTATATAAAAATAATAATAAATAGAACAATGGTAGGGGTTGTGACAATTAGAGTTGTTCGGATGTTTAAGGAAGTGTAAGCAAGTCCAACAAATGATAGTTGAGTTATACTTGTATTTCTCCAATCCTCCAATCTATCTAACTACCAAACTGAACTCTCACCATAAAAATAACTCTATCTAGTGGTCAATTTTAATTAACTTGTTTTTATTGGGACACCCAATCCCAATCATGTTCCAATTCCAACTGAACAAGACAAGGAAGACAATTTCATTAACGAGTTAACTCAGTGTAAGATATTTGTGGGCCAGTTCATACGAAACTTTGTTTTGCCTTTAAACAGGGCCCTCGCTAGTGGACTGTAGGATTGTTCTCTCTTGGATTAGTTGGTTGTAAAGTTGGATACCAAGATTTCAAAATAAAATCTCACCTTAAGACATTGTATCTAAAAACTCTTGTCCACATAATAGTTTAAGAAAAGTATGGTAATGAGACATGTTGTGTATGTTGAGAATGTATCAAGTGTGAGTAGTGTGGGTAATAGTCACACATTGGTTAGAAATATGGAGACTTGAGCATTTATAAGTGAGAGAAGTCACCCACCTATCATTACAAATGATCGTCTAAGTGTTTAAAAAACATATTAGCCCTCTCAAGTAAACAGACTAACACATAGTCACTTGAGGAAACATAAACTCAAAAGAGATTACATATGTATATACATGAATGCTTCTACATAAGCAGATTACACGATATTTAAGCTTAATAACACAATATTAATTTGCAAGATGAACTTGCAGAATTACAAAACTATATTTGAATAGATCTTGCATGAGACTTTGTGCAGCGTTTTAGTATGAGTTTTGTAGAGCAGAATACTTACTTTCCAATGCTTCAGAGTCTTCCTTTTATAGTTGAAAAAAAGATTCGTTGAAGGGTAAAATAGGAAATGGAAATCCAGTTATTATGTCTTTGACGGTCAATGTGGAAACGTCAGTCATCATCGTATCAAAAGCTACTTTAGCAGGATAGTAGACAGTGTACTTGTACTTTTATGTTTATCCTTTCATGCAAGACTTTTCTGATCTTTAAATTCTAATCTTCAGAGGCTTCTGATATATATGAAGCATGCTCTCTTGTTGCATTGTGAATGCATGTGCACACTAAGTGTTTGATCTTTTGACAATTGCTTGTTGGTGTTGCATATTCAAAATGTTTGATGTTGATACTTGTTCATACACATTATTGGTTGTTGTATTCTTGATGAATGTTCATTATTATGTTTAATTGCTTCATTGTTGAATGCATATATGCTGCCTATACATTTACACCTGGTGTTGTGTTAAATACATGATGTTAAATGCTGCCTTGCTTGTCTTGCTGCTTTTTACACATGTTCTGTTCTGGGAACACATGTTGTTAAATGTTATCTTGCTTGTTTGCTAGAATTTACTGTTGTGTTGAGCTGAAGCGTTGTTGTTTCTGTTGTTTTTGGTATATTCTCTTGGTTTTTTCTTGCATTTGTATGTTCCCTTAGGGCCTCCTAGTCCAACTTAATTTTTAATTAAGCTTGGAATATGATAGACATTAGGTGTTAAACCATGCATGATAACATTAGGATAATTTCTCTAACCTCAACCTTAGGTCCATCCTTGCTTGGAATAGGATATAAATTCCTTTCGCATCCCAACATTAGGACTACTTTGCATGATAACATGTAGGACCGAGTTCCTCTTACTGTAACGCCCCGATTCTGAATTCCCATTAATTGTTGAGTCTTTTAATTTATTTATTTGATGTTTGTTTTAAATTGAGAAATTATATATTGCTATGTGGTGTTTTGCTTATTTTATCTATTTTTACCGA